CATAGTATGAGCCCGCCATCCACCCACTAACGAGCAACCGATGTCCTGAAGGACAGTCATTGCGGCCCCATAGTGGATACACGTGGCCATTGTAGGTCGAGCTTGTGGATCCACACACGGAACATGTCAACTGCAAGGACAAAGCCAACACACAAAACAGGTGTAAGGATTCGCTCCTCTACAGAAGCGAACCAATGGCGATGGACCGGCGCTAGAAGCTTGGAGACGCAACGCAGTCTCTCGAACCTCAGCATAGTCGGTGTAGCCAGAGACACCCACACCTTCAACAGGGTACTGCAAAGCATTTAACGCAAATGAGCAAGTAATGGCATAGCGGCAGACACCACGCCAAGCGTCTGTATGATCTGAACGCCAAGCACATCATGCAACCCCGCCACCAGAACATGGGGTACGCACGATCAAAGCGCCGTCCTCATTGCGGGTGGAACCAATCGATTGTGCATCCTTGTCCACACAGATATGCTCTGTGCGGTACTGATCATATTTCGAGGCAAACAGATACCCCGTGTACAGCGTGCTGAATCCAGTTGGACAGGTATAGCTCCCTGCAATGGAACGCGGTATCGTAGATTGAAGCACGATGACACATGAGAGGATTTGACACACACCCCGCTTTTGTCGACGAGTCCGCCTGCACAGTACGGCCGGCCCTCGCACAACAAACAAACCTTCTGTGCGAAAGGTCTTGGCATCTTGCCGCGACAACATACACACAACGCATGGCACCTGGTTGCCAAACCCCATGTTCAAAAACCAGTGAGACGGCCTCTGCCATGGATCTTGATGGTGACTGGCCAATGCAAGAAAGAACGCGCGTTTACTTGCATCGCTGTCGTGCAGGTCCGACAAGAAAGGGAACCCGCTGGTCTGATACTCCATGGCGTAGAGAATGGAGCGAGAGTTTCCCTCTTGAGTCCAGGCACCTGGAATAGGGCTCACATCTTGCGGCATGCTGTCACGGGCGCGACAATCGTGAGAAAATATCCGTGTTAGCCGGCGTTAGCTTGGACAACGGTGCAGCTATATAAGATAAAACACCATCTCAGTGCCATGTGGAAATCAGAGCTTTACCACTGGAAGTTTGGTCCACCTCCCGAGTGAGTGTAGTGTGCACCTGCACCACGACCTGCTCAACAGACCACCAAGCCAATGGGGCAGACTCATCAGGTGACCCGCCGTGGAAAAGGGGGGTAAGAGAAATCACGTCCCGTTCACGAGCCCTCAAGCAGAGACACGGACCTTGGTAAACAATGCTGGCACTCGACGGGCAATCCCAGCGGCCCCACCGAACAAACGTCGGGCCCGTGGCACTATCAGGAGGTGGTGGCGGTGGAGGTGGCGCCGGCCCCGAACACATGGTGCACGGCAGCTCATAAAATGGCGTGGCCCAATCAAAAATGCGCCCTAGCACAAATGTTCAAGCAAGCAAACCAGGGTCAAAGCAGAGTGCCAATAACTACAGCCGCTTCGAGACCCAAGAATGCATCTCGTCAGGCTGACTAACCATTGCCACTTTGAATTTCCACGGGGTACAGAAGATAGCCATCTTCATTGCCTGTATCCAGATAAGGACCCCATGTGAGCTCTCTTTCGACGAGCGTAACCATTGACGTGCTAAAACATTGCAATGCTTGAACAGCGGAATGCTAAACAAAAGGTCTTGCACACCCTCACCAGTCGAGCCCGTGTACGAAGGGTTCTGCTTGACACAGTAAAATGCGCCCTTGTTGTGACTGCGTTTAGAGTACCATATCGTATCAGCATAATTCACGTGACAGTTCCGTCAACCCCAATAATTCCACCAAAGAAGAAAGAAGGTGCGATCGACTGACTCATGCTTCTCCGATGTCAGGATGCCCTGAAAGTCCACCTTGTAACCCTGAGGGCTGCACCGACAAACAACAAACCACACATAAATCCATTAGTCCATAAATCCATTAGTCCATAAGCCCTTGAGTACACTTCCCCGGCGAATCGCAAGCGCAAATGCCGTAGCTGCTTGGCTCAAACCCCTCACCAGGTATTGCGAGCCGGATACATGAAAGAGTCCGGATTGGACCTAACCCAAAGCGTGAGTGGTTTGCACGACATGAGCATCGGCCAACTCCAACCAGAGCCCCTGAATTGAGAGCTCCATAAGCCAAGTCCCCCAAGGACTTCTGTCTTTCACCAGCGGAGCAGGAGGTGGCAAGCATGGCAACAAGCAGAAGCACACGTGCTAGCGACACAAACCGCAGGCACATGGCGCAGGGTACGTCGCGGTCCTGCAGGCGATCATAGGCGACATCTGTCATTTCGCCGTATTGGTACTCGGCTCGATACACGCGACCACCGTTGTGTGCGTTTTGATTGTATGTCAACCAGCTGGGCGAGCTGTGCAGGCACATGCCGTTGAACCCGCCGCCCGAGTGCGAGTAATGGGCACCTGCCGGGCATTCCAAAGCACAGTACATGTTCCACATCCCCAGTGTTCACCAGCATCAGCATGAGACTAAGAGCCCAATCGAGGAACTATTGCCAAGACAGCGTCAAGAGCCCAAAGGGAGCTTCTCACCGGCCCAAGTGCCATAGTAGATGCGCGAGTCACCCGAAGCACAGCTCGTCGATCCCACCATGGGGTACACTATGAAGTAACAACACGTCGAAAAGAACCAGAGAAAAGAGCCAGAGAAAACATCAACTCTGAAGTGAGCGCAGCCGCGCATGATGACCTGCCAACAGTGCACAACCTCACAAGGCATGCAGCAGCGACCGACCTGATCCGCTGCTGGTTGTTTTGGAGCACCGCACACACGTCATCTATGTCCATCGCCGGATGGGTGAACCAAATGAGACGCACATCTAGAAGCCTAAGCACACATCCAGCCTTGTCCCAACACTCAACACTCAACACTCGACACCACAACGGTCAGTACCTCGCGATAGCGTGTGTAAGATGACGGGTAGGTGTCGTGGTATTCGGTGAAATACAACAGACCACTACGCGCGTACAAATGTAAAGAGATGAGGTTCCAACAGGTATCTACAGAGAAAAGTGGAGATACAAAGCAACGCCCCTTTTCCTCCCACTTGCTATGAGCATGCTTCAGGTCACGCACCCATCATTGCTAGTCTTGGACCCATAGATGTCGGGTGTCTCATCAATGCAAATCCATGTTGTGCGGCGCATGTTGTACCGTGAGGCCATAATGTAGCCCCGATAGTCCTGGAAGGGTCAAGAGAGCGTGTATGCGGTTGTCGCGGCCGACAGCAAAGGGTCAGTCAACCTGACCATGCTTTTTTGTGAAAAAAAGGCCACACCAAACACCCACCTGCGTCCAACCACTGGGGCACGTGGTCCGGCCGTACTGCACCATCGACACGGTTCGCGTGTCCGGGGCTTGACACACGGAGCCTGCGCATGCGGGCGTGACGAGCAGAATGACACTCGATAAGTATCCAGCCGGTGCCGCCCACAACTTGTGAGGGTGTAAGTACGTGGCGAGAGCACCCACAGCGAGCCTCGTAATCATGGAGCGTATTGAAATGAGATGAGACGCTTGCATCTGCAGTTTGATACTCCACTTGGCGAATCTATCGTTTGCGCATAAGAAAGTAAGTTCAGATGCACGGAGCACAATCTGAACACGCTCAATTGTGTTGTATGCAAGAATCAGATGCTTGCCTCGCCCATGCCACTGTCGGCGCTGTTATAACTCAACCAGCTGGGCGACGACGTCATGCACAAGTAATCCACTGTGCCTCCAGAATGTCTAGTTGCATGACGCCGAGACAACAGGGGAAGTGAGGCAGAGGAGTGTGGCTTGATGAAGCGCCACCATGCTGTTTGCACGTCAAATGGCATCGAGCTACTCACGAATAGTAGGTCCCAGCCATCGGACCGTAGTCCAAACGTGTGTGACCACTTGGACTGCGGCACATATGATGAGATGATGAAAAGTAGGGCATAGAGGCAAGTTCCGGTCGCAATTAATAACCTGGCCTTGAGAGAAGGTAGTAGCTCGGAGCAACTATTGCAAAATATGGAGCCGAATACTCACCAAGTCACGGTACCCCAACGACGATAAATTGCACCTGCAGATGGGGCACCGCACATAGCACTGCAAACAGTTCAGACATTGCCAGCAGTTGACGTCCGTGTCAGCGTAAGCAGAAAAACAAAAGGACCATGGTAGTAGCAGCTTGCATCTTATTACCAAGTTACTTCGCGATTGTTGGTGTATCCTCCAAGGCCATACGCCTCGGTTGGATACAGAAGCATGCCATTCTAGTCCATACAAACAAGACGTCGATGAGGCATTACTTTTTTATTTTATTTTTTATTTTTTTAGCCACTCCAGGCTTGGTGCTGGAAGCATACTTCATTGCCACGTGAGCCCGTGCTCTCAGCGTTGGCGTCCATGCAAATAGCCTCCAGTCGTTGATGGCCTAAAGCGTTGGGTTAAAGACAGTTGATAAAGGACAGTTACATTCATGTGGCTGCGAATAAAGCGTCCAGGCCACGGGGACAAGTGTGGGCAAACCTGTGTGTGCTGTAAAGATGTAGCCTTGATATTGCAGCGTGTGGCCTTTGAAAGTGGCAAGTAATCGTGAGGAGCAGGTTCAAGGACACAACGGGAAACACGATAAACGTATCACAATGTCAAACAAAGCACCGACCGGAAGGGCAAGAATTGCGCCCATTGCGTTGCCATACTTTGCGCGGAGCGCGACAGACCACACAAGGAATCTGAATTGTATCCATTGTTCGTTGAAGCAATGTGATAAGCTGTGCAATCGAGAGATAGCGGTTCACTGGAATAATCCGTGCAGCGTCCCACCTCGGAATCGTGCAGGTCATCGAACCAAGAGTTGAGCAGTCCAGAAGTCTCGTATTCGGCACTGCCAAGTGAAAGCGAGTCAAGCAATGGTCACATCACGAAGAGGCACGCAGTAGGTTGAAAGAAAGCCACGCACTGGTAAATAATGCCACCCCCCGTATCTGAGGTATCGTAATCTCCCTCCATGATGTCTTGGCCACTCAAGCACTGTGTATAGATGATGGCGTGAGAATAAAAACAGAGGTTTGTGCGACATGACAATCATTCGACAGCATCAGGACTTGTCAGCTGATACAGCAACAATGATTGGCGAATGACAACATACCTGCACGTTGGCCCCTGAACCACCATGTGTGTGGTAGCTACCACCTATGAGGGTGCAAGAGAAAAAGGATTGAGGACGAGCGAGTATTGGGTGCCTTGAGCATTGGCGGTCATAGCAATCTTGCTCCCAATACCAACCAACAAGGCCTCGATACACGACTGTGTCTGAAGAGGGGCACGTGGTACGTCCCCAGCGAGTCTAGGGTGACAAGATTACGAGCACATGATCAGCAAACCATTCCACTACGACGCTGGGAGAAAGGTTTGACTTGTGGCGAGGTTTGAGATGGTCGAGGTTACCAACATAGACGTTGCCACTCCGTCCGGACATGAAGTCGGCACCCTCTTGACCACAAACAAGACTCATCAAAGCCTGGAGGATGACCATGGTCGTCACCACCCATGGCGGTAGCGACGTGGCCTCTTGCACAGGCATGGCGCCCAGCAAGAAATTTCCACGAGGCGGTGTCTGCATGACCGGCAATGCACATGAGCAAACGGTCAGGC